GTGGGCCCAGGGAGGCGAACTCTCTCTCCCTGTCACAAGAACAAGCTGACCTCGGTAGAACTGCCCTTGTTCTATCCTGGGTCAACAAAGCTGCCCACAGTTATGTGTGATCCAGAGGTCAAGTTATAGACATCAGCTCCTGAAGCTATCTTGTGACAGAAGTAACAGACCACAAACACACCTCTTAGGAAACCCCCTCCCTGCTTTCCAGTAGTCAATAACACCTGTGACTAAGGTTGTATGTTAGCACCTAATTAGCATACTTGGTACACGATCCACTGCTTTTCCTATATGTAAGCTTTAGCATCATTCCTGTTAGGCTACCTACCATGGCAAGTTCCCTAGGGAGCTCTGCCCCCCCACATTAGCGTTATAATAAATTTTTGCCAACTTGACTGGAAGAATACTTGAGTCGGTGAATTAATTCCAGACCCGGTCCTGTATTTTGATCTTTGGGGGGGTCCCTGAACTTCTAAACCCGCATCACCTCCATAGCCAGTCTGTTGCCAAGGCCTGTAGATTTCACCTTTGCAACATCTCTTTAATCTCTCCCCTAATCTGTTATGACACCATCCCTACTCATACCTGGACTATTGCAACAGCCTGCTAGGGTGGGGAGTGGCTTTGCTTGCTTCAAGTCTTTCCCCAGCCCAATCCATCCTCTATTCAATCACCAACGTGATTTTCTTAAAGCTCAGGTCTGTTTATGTCACTGCCCTGCTCAATAACGTCCCATGGCTCCCTATTGCCTTCAGGATCACATACAAAATGCTCTATTTGGCATTCAAAGCCCTCCATAACCCGCCCCACCACACACCTTTTCAGTCTTCTTACCTGTTATGCTCTGTGTTTATCTGGGTTAGGAACTTACCTCCTCAACAGGCTTCGGACGTCTCTGGCTCCAGCTGCACTGGAGAAATGACTCCACATAACACCCCAAGACACTTTCAGAGCATATCTTTTTATTGTTACATCTCTGACTACTAGCGCAGCTCTCCCCTCCTTCCGGGTACCTCCTTCTTATCCTCTCCCCGTCCACACCTTTTTCAGGAGCCCTTCCCACAGTAAGCCAATCATGTCCTGCCCCGAAAGCAAAGAGGATTTGTGCTTATTAAACATGTCATGAGCCGTTGCACGTGAGCAACTTAACTCACCTGCGCATCAGCTTAGTTGCCACGTCTGCTCATTTATTTTGACATGCGCAGATCCACCTTAATACTCCCAGGCAATCATGTGCACTTCTGCAGGTAAGAACAGAGTCATCTCACAAACGACCCTTACACTTACCCTTTACACTCTTTATTCCAGTGACACTAGCCTCCCTGCTGCTGTTCCTTGAACTAGACACTCCATCTCTTTCCTTCCTTCCTTCCTTCCTTCCTTCCTTCCTTCCTTCCTTCCTTCCTTCCTTCCTTCCTTCCTTCCTTCCTTCCTTCCTTCCTTCCCTCCTTCCCTCCTTCCCTCCTTCCTTTCCTTGGTCCACCTAGGGTATCACACCCTTACCTGCAGGCTCTGCTCAAAGGGAATGTAAATTTTAATCTTTGAAACTTTCTTTTCCTCTTAAACACTAGCCTTAACCCCAAATCACTCTGTCTCTCATTGACTGGCCAACAATAGGTCCCAGGCCAAGCCCTACTTGCTCACTCTTTGGGCCCTGATTGGCTCAGAATGAATGTAAATAGCAATTGTTTTTGTTTTGGCCAGAAACCCTGAGGGTCTTCCCCTCCCAGATCTATCATTTTTTTTTCTTTAAGAGGCCATTCTCTGCCTTATTTCTTATTAAGTCTTAATCATGGGCTGCTGCCTCAGTTTCCCTGAAGCTATAATCCTATCAACTGGCCTTTTCTTATCACCTACACCCAATCTACCAATTCTCTGCTACCCTTAACCTAGCCCAGCCCTCCACTGTTCTGTTGCCTCCAAATGGCTGCTGGCTACTTCCCATCCTTGATCCTACCTAGACCCCATTCTCAACCTACTGGCCACTCCCATCAAGATACCCTTTTCCCCAGATCCTTTCCTCCAGTCACCCCAAATTACTTGGCCACTCCTAGATCCCTCCCACAGTCTTTCTGTCTATAAGGTCCATCTTGTCTCCATTAAGGTGCTCAGATTCTTTAAGAGTTTAGCCGATAGCTCGCAAATGTTCAGATTCCTTAAGAGTCTGGCCACTATGGCTGATCTTTAATAAACCTTATCTTTGACTGAAAGATGGTTTGGGTTGAATTCATTCGGGCAGGACCCGGTGTTGCTCTTTTGGGGTCCCAGCACCCCTAAACCTACACATATGGTTCTGTAAACCTCAACACCACTGTCTGCCAGAAGTCTTTCCCTATGAGATGATCTCCAGTTTACCCTGTCTCTAGGTTGCTTGTGGGCTCCCTTCAGAGCAAGGATTGTCTTTTCTCTGTTTGTACTCCCAGCAGGGTGCCAGGTACTTTGGAGGTGCTTAATCAATGTTTACTGACTGGCTACTGTAAGAAAGATTTTAGGGGACTGGCCTTCCACAGCAGGATAAGAAATTCCAAGATCTCGTGGATAGTCCCTGAACCAATCAGAAAGTGCTCCCAACTTTTCTGTAAACAACTAGTTCCTTAAGAAAGAGCCCTGGAGGCTAAACCAGTTCAAGGACCGGACTTCAGTGGGGCAAAGGCTTTTCTCCACTGCCTGGCTTAATAAGCTTATTGAATGTGAACCGAAATGCCCCAAGGGTGGAGATAGCCCCCATTTTTGAACATGGGACCCATGAAGTGGGCAGAGTTAACAGAACATGGACGAACATGTGATGGGCTGTCCAGGAAGGGTGTAACTCAGATGAACTAGACCATTGCGCTCTTACCAACGTTTAAAAGTTGATTCTGCCACTGAACCAGTGCCCACATGCTACTAAAGTGAGCTGTGCCCACTTCTCTCATGGCAAGTGTAATACTTTCCTTCACTCACTCACTGTAGTAGATTTTTGTTTCAGATTTTTCTAACAGCTACCTCTCACCTAAACTATTGGAATAACTTAAGTGGTCTCAGTGCTTTTACTCTCTTTCCCCTCTCTAATCCTTCCTTCAAATAGCTGCCAAAATCAGCTTCCTAATTTTTAGGTATGGCCTTGGCATTAGTGGTTCTGATGCAGTTTGAAGGGCTCAGGGACCCCCAAGGACTGTAGTGCAGGACAGGGTTATCGGGAATGAATTAAAGGACTCAAGCATTGTATAAGTCAAGTGGGCAAAAGTTTGTTACACATTCAGCAGGCAAAAGTTCTTAAGTTAAAGTTTACCTATGAAAAACTATAGTAAAACATGTGCCAAATATGCTAACTAGGTGATTCTGCGAGGAATTAGGGAGTGGTTTAAGGAGTGGTCAGTTCTTAAAGGAACACTCACTTTTTGTATCTACTGCACAGGTGTTTTACCCAGAGTTCACCAGGAAAAGCCCAAGGAGGCCCTCCTCCTCCCCCCACAGGGAAGTGCGGTTTTTAGGTCTGTCACATCACTAAGTTAACTACAGATCAGGGCCCACTGAGGATTGTTCCGTCTGCCAGCAATCAATGTCTTGTTTGACAAGACAGATATAGGGAGGGTACACATGTCTCAAGTCTAGGAGTTGGTATAGATAGTCTGGTGGGTACCGAACATCTTCATGAGCCAGTAAAAGCCAGTTGAAACTAATAATTGCTACAGGTGTGGTTTGTTACTGTACCACGGAGAGATAAGTGTCCTGCTGGGACGCACTCATGAGTCATTGCTAAGCACAGTGTCCTTGAGCTGGGGGGAAACTGCCAGGGATAGTGGTTCTGAGGCTAGGGAGAAACATGGTCTTGGAATTGGGATTCCAGCACAAGCAGATCCTCAGTGCACACAAAAACCCCACAAACCTCCTGATTTGGTACCGGAATCTCTACATTTTGCGGGGTCCTCCCGCTCCTGATTTTCTCTAGGCATAAGCCCAGCTGTGGACTCTTCTCCGTCCTGTTTCTGTCTCAGTCTTGCCTCCTGCTGTACTTTTGCTCAGTCTGTCCCTCAATGCCTGGATTAGAACTGTCATAGCAATTAGTGTAAAAGTGGAACCCAATGCTTTGGGTTTCCTTGGAGGTTCTCACAGGCTGGAGGTGGAAGGGATTTTTGTTCACCTATGGGCTGATCAAGAAGTGATCAGTGTGGCAGCTAGGTGGCGCTGCAGGCGGACCCCCGCCCCCCCAGGTCAGGAAGACCAGAGTTCAAGTGCTGCCACTGACACTTCCTAGCTGTGTGCCCCTGGGCAAGTCACTTCCCCCGTTAGCTTCAGTTTCCTCATCTGTAAAATGAGCTGGAGCAGGAAATGGCAAGTCATTCCAGTATCTCTGCCAAGAAAACCCCGAATGGAGGCACGAGGAGTCGGACAAGACTGAAAAACGAGTAAACAATAGCCTGGGCTCATCAAGAGGACCAGGAAAGTTGCTTGAGCTGACGGTGTGAATGAACTCCCGCCCTTCCTCCCCACTCCCCCATCATTTCAGTCTCTTGGGTCCTAGCAAGTCTGCTGCCCTCTCCTGCCTCACGGGAACGTCTTTGTAAGATAATCACTTGGGCCCGCTTGGGTGTCACCTTGGCCTCCATGACCTCGTGTGCCAGGGGAGGGGACTCGGCGCGGTCAGAAGGACGTGGGAAGGGGGAAAAGGCCTTGGGGCTCATGGCCCCAAGAGCAGGACCAACTCCAGGAAATCCCAAAGCAAACCCAAGCTTCCCGCCCCGCCCCTCCCCCGGGGGCCCACGGCTGTCCACTGCCGGCTCTCATGCTGCCGCGGGACGCTGGCACTGCGCCTGCGCCCCTGCGCGGCTCCGGCCCCTTTTCCTTCCCAGAACCCGGAACCTTCGCCCAGGAGGGCCTCCCGCCTCGTCCCTAGGCAGTGCGCCTGCGCGCCGCCCGGGCCGCCGAGCAGAGGCTGGAGAGCTCGCGGGCCTCGGAGGCCGCACTGAGTCTGCGCACGCACGGCAGGCCAGGGCCTGGGAGGCCTGGAAGGCACCGGAAGCGGAAGTGAGTCGGAGGACAACTCTCGTTCGGAGAGGCTCCCGTTGTTGTCTCGAAGGAGTCTCGAGATCCCGGCGCCGCCATGGTGAGAACGAGGGGCGGAGCCGGCCCGGGGCAATCCCGGGGGGCGGCCCGGGGGAGGAGGCTGAGCGGGTCCGGGACGAGCCCGGGGGCCTTCCTACAGGACGAGGTGGCTGGGGGGGCCCCACTTGGGTGGCTTTGGGCGCCGTCCGGGGAGGGAGGGCTCCCCTGGGGAGGACGGAGGGGGAGGGGGCGGGAGCTGCGGCGTCTCTTGGCTTCCCCCAAGGTTTCGGGGGGCTACCGCGGAGAGGGGCGGGGGGCGCCGCTGCCGCCATCGCCATAGCCATCGACATCGCCATCGCCCGCGCCGCCGCCGCCAGCAGCAGCTCCGGCCCCGGCCCCGCGATCGCCATCACCGCTGTCGCCGCTACCCCCGGCCCCCCCAGCAAAGAGGCTAGGAGAGGCCCCCCAGCGGAAGGTCGTAGAGTTTAGGAGCCAAGGCCCTTGGGGAAGGCGGGCCTGGAGGCCTCCCTGGAGGAGAAGGAAGGAGGAGACAGTGACTGGGAGAGCCTAGGGACAGGACACCCTATCGGGCTTCCCGCAGGAAGAAGAGGTTGGGGGGAAGCAGTTAAAGTCACCCCGAAGGGTTTCCCATCGGTAGAAGAGGAAGAAGCTGAAGGGGAAGGTCTGAGGTCACCGCTGGGGGACGCCCGGGAGGAGGTGGCTGGATTGTTGGGGAGGTTTCTCAGGGAGCTGCTTAGAGGAGGTGGGGGCGGGGAAGAGATTTCCGGAGGAGGTTCGGGGGCAGCCCTGGGGGCAAGTCCTTAGCTAGGAGGTGGGAAGTGGTTCCAGCTGGGGGGGAGGGGGGCGAGTCCTACATGAAAAGGGAGCATTTAGGAGGGAAGACTTGAGTTAGTCCTAGGGGAGTCAGGGCCATTTCCTGGAGGGAGGAATAAGGTTGGAGCATGGAGTAAGGTTCGTTTGGAAGACTGTTAGGAGAAGGAAGAAGGGAAGGCGTCTGGGAAATGGTGGGGGGGGGGGCGGCGGCAGAGTTCCTTAGAGGAAGAAGAGTGAGTAGTTCTCTCTGCTTTCATGACCTTACAGGAGACTGAGTTTTCAGACCCGGAGCCTGGGGCTGCTGGAGGGGAAGAAGCCAGGTCTGAGAATGTGGAGAATGCACCCATTTACTGTGTTTGCCGCAAGCCTGATATCAACTGCTTTATGATGTGAGAGCAGAGGGATGTGGGTGGGTGGGTGGGAGCGAGCTTAGTTGAGATCTGAGTCTGGGCCACAAGGAAGATCTCTAGAGGAGAGCTGAGGGCTCCCCCAAGAAGGATGATGGGGTTCAGGAAGGGGCTGGGCTCCCTAGAAGAGGATGACTGAGTCAGAGCTGGGATTCTGGGCCCATCTTGTTGGACTCTGGGGGGGGGGGGAAGAGAAGCCCAGCAGAGTCTGGCAGCAATACCAAGATCCTCCTTCAGGGAGCAGGTCTTGGTTTGCCATGTATTCCTCCAAGGAGGAATGGGGGAAGGATCAGAATTAAGTTCAGAAAAAGCCTTGAAGCTGAATGCACAGGGGAAAAGGGCTCTCTGCTTTCCAAGCCTCAAACATACCTCATCTTCAGTTTCCTTCTGTTCCTTATGCAGCGGCTGTGACAATTGCAATGAGTGGTTTCATGGTGACTGCATCAAGATCACGGAGAAGATGGCAAAGGCCATCCGAGAGTGGTACTGCCTGCAGTGCCGGGGTGGGTCTTGGGGGAGGGTGGAGCCTGGGGATGATGGGGGGGGCCTGATTTGGGGAGATCTTGGCTATCACCAGAGCAGTGCCTCAAACTATGCTCATTTCCTGTACAGAAAAGGACCCAAAGCTGGAGATCCGATACCGACACAAAAAACCATGCCGTGAGCGTGATGGGGAACATGAGGCTGAGCCCAGGGACGATGCGGCCACCCCACGTAGGAAGGTTGCTTCAGATCTCCTTGTAGAGCCTGTGGGAAGTGGGCCCATGACCATCCCCAAGGGCTTCACCTCTCCCCACAAGGCCCCACCTCATTCAGGACCTGGGCCTGTGCGAGAGGTATCCAGCCAGGTGAGTTGGAGGATCTAGGGCTTATACCAGGAGGAGGGAACCTTGAGTTGCAAAATAATGTGAGGCCTAGAGTGTTAGGCTATTGATGAGGATAAAGGGGCTGCTTAGAACACTGCTAAGCCCAGGAGTGTCTCTCCCCATCTTCTCTCCTTCCATACTCCATCCCCTCAATAGCAAATCAAACGATCAGCTCGGATGTGTGGGGAGTGTGAGGCCTGCCGAAGAACTGAGGATTGTGGCCACTGTGACTTCTGCCGCGACATGAAGAAATTTGGGGGACCCAACAAAATCCGCCAGAAGTGCCGTCTGCGGCAGTGCCAGCTCCGAGCCCGGGTGAGAGAGCACGAGGTGGCTCTGGAATGTTTGGGCCCAGTCCCCACCTGACCTGGACCTCCCCCTCACCTCCTGTGTTCTTCTGTTTTTTCTATGTATAGGAATCCTATAAGTATTTCCCTTCCTCGGTGAGTCTGGCATCAGCTGTGGTGAGTGTTGGGGTTAGGACTGGAACACATTCGGCTTCTTTGGGGTACTGCCCTTACGATAGCCCCAAGTCCAGGAAACATGACAGGGAGGGACACCTTGGCCAGTTTGGGGGGCAGTTGCTAGAATGGAGATACTATCGCTAATTCCTTTGAATCTTTCTTTGTCCCCTTTTTCCTTCCCTCTTCCCCACAGTATATTGGAAGGACCCCTGGGAGAGTATCAGGACCTTCTTCGACCAGGCCCTTCCCCCTCTCTGGGCCTCACCTTGCTCCTGGCTCCATGATCTAATGTTCTGCTGACCTGCTATACCTGTTGCTTCCTCCACAGCAGAAACTTCTTCGGGCACGGGAAGACCATTTCCAGATGTTAAAGGAGCCGCCGGAGGCTGTGGCCACGCCTGAGGCCCTCTCTGATGAGGATCTGCCTTTGGACCCTGAGCTTTATCAGGATTTCTGTGCTGGCGCCTTTGATGACCATGCCTTGGTGAGGGGGTGGGGTCCCTATGCCAAGACCCCTTTGCTTAAGTCCTTTCTCTGTTTTCTCTGCCGCGAGCCGTTGAGTGTCTTCTCTAGCATGAGTGCCGAAGGAAAGAGACAGCATGGGATCTGGACTGGGTGCTAGATTCAGGGTCTAAGGATGGGGGTTGCAATCTGGGCTCTGCTGCTTGGGCAAGTTTTTTCACCTGTGTGTATTCCCCCTGTCACAAATGATAGTGTTGGATTTCTATAGCCTCAAAGGTCTGTTTTAACTCAAAATGTAGGATTTTATGTATTCAAGGGGAGAGAAAGAGGATATCCTTTTTTTTTTCCATGGCTTGGAGCCATGATGGTCTAGCCATAGTGGTTAGACAGTCTTGATGTCAGTGGTCAGAGCTCACGTTCCCCAAAGGGCCAGTCAGTGCCTTTCTGCCATCTCCTTTTTAAGCTGGTCAGGATAGAGGGGTGATGGGCTCAGTGGCCTATCCCTTCCTGCCCCCAGCCATGGTTGAGTGACCCTGAGGATGCTCCCTTCCTGGACCCAGTACTTCGGAAACGTGCAGTGAAAGTAAAACATGTGAAGCGGCGGGAGAAGAAGTCAGAGAAGAAGGTGAGTAGCAGGAGAGACAGTAGTGGCGGGCAGTGGGGAGCTGCACAGGAGGCTCACTGCCTTCCCCCTCCTGCCCCAGAAGGAGGAGAAGTATAAGCGTCACCGGCAGAAGCAGAGGCACAAGGATAAGTGGAAACACACCGAGCGGCCAGATGCCAAGGACCCGGCCTCCTTGCCCCAGTGCCTGGGACCCAGCTGTGTCCAGCCTGCCCAGCCAGGCTCCAAGTACTGCTCTGATGACTGTGGCATGAAGCTGGCTGCCAAGTGAGGATGCATCCTTCTCTTCTCCTCCCCCCCTGCCCCCCCCCGCCCCCGCCCCCGCCCCATCTGTTGCCCACATCACATGAAGCCTAGCTCCTTCCACTGGCAGAAAGCTGCTGTGACCCCTGGGAGGGACTCCAGAGACCAAATGCCCTCTAGGGTCCCTTGCCATGTGCATCTTGCCCTCTTACCCTGGCAGTCGCATCTATGAGATCCTGCCCCAGCGAATCCAGCAGTGGCAACAAAGCCCATGTATCGCAGAAGAACATGGAAAGAAGCTTCTCGAGCGGATCCGGAGGGAGCAGCAGGGGGCTCGGATGCGTCTGCAGGACATGGAACGTCGCTTTCATGAGTTGGAGGCTGTCATCCTCAGAGCCAAGCAACAGGTGGTTCGAGAAGATGAGGAGGTGAGAGGAGGCCAGCTCCCAGGGAGCCCCTGGGAAGTTGGGGGGGGAGGTGTTCTCAGTCTCACTGTGTGGCTGCCTGTCTCCTTGTTTACAGAGCAATGAGGGAGACAGCGAGGACACAGACCTGCAGATCTTCTGCGTCTCCTGTGGCCACCCTATCAACCCGAAGGTGGCATTGAGGCACATGGAACGTTGCTATGCCAAGGTGCCCCACCCCTCCGCAATTTGGGGAAATGCTAGGGAAGATGGGTGATGGTCCTTCTTGGCACTAGGAGTGCAAGCATCAGCAGATGGGCAGGAGAGGAGGGTTGATCCTTGGAGTGACTGACATGTATTATGGGGGGAGGGGGCGGTGGGGAGCGGGAATAGTGGCTGCCCTCAGAACAGTGCAGATTGGACAGACTGTCCTTGGCAAAGTGGGTGCCAGCTAAAGAGACTTTCAGGGGAACAAATACCTGCTAATAAGGGCCCTGGCTCTGTGAAAGGCACATCTGGGACACCGTGGGCTCTAACTTTGTCTTCCACAGTACGAGAGCCAGACATCGTTTGGGTCAATGTACCCCACCAGAATTGAGGGGTGAGAGAGGGCACCTTGGGGGAGGGGAGGGGAGAGCTGGGCCATCTTCTCCGATTTCTGATAATCACGTGGTTCCCTTGCTCCTCACCCCCCCCCCAGGGCCACTCGACTCTTCTGTGATGTCTACAACCCACAGAGCAAAACATATTGCAAGCGCCTGCAAGTCCTGTGCCCTGAACACTCCAGGGACCCCAAGGTGAGTAAGTCGGTTGGGGACACTATGTTGTTTGAAGTAGGTCCTGGGGCATGGTCTTTGCCATTATTTCTCTGGAGGACATTTGTCAAAGCCAGTGTCGGTGTGGCTGTAATGGCTCATCTGGCTTGTGTTCCTGTTTGGGGGAGGGGCAGGTGCCTGCGGATGAAGTGTGTGGCTGCCCCCTGGTACGGGACGTGTTTGAGCTGACCGGAGACTTCTGTCGCCTGCCCAAACGACAGTGCAATCGGCATTATTGCTGGGAGAAGCTTCGGAGGGCTGAGGTGGACCTGGAGCGTGTGCGAGTGGTGAGGCGTTTCTGCTTTGCCCAGGTGGACTTTGGGCAGAAAGGAGGCTGGACCAGCTGGCGTGGAGTGTTGGGCCCAGGTGGAGGCTTCAGAGCAGCTTGCCCTCTCCATTCATCCATCTGGGAGAGCGCACTGTCCTTTTCTATCCATAAGGGCCTGGAGCCCAGGAGGTGGGAAGAAGAACAGTATGAGGCTGGGCCGGTGAGGTAGCCTCCCCTTGGAGCTGGGGGAGAGGCGAGGCTCACTTCGTAGGCGATGGGGAGGTCACCAGGCTGAGGTCAGCCAACAAGTGTTTATGAAGCGCTCAGTACTCTGGGGAAGACAGAGAAAGCCAAAGGCACCCTGCTGTTCAGGAGCTTGCAGTTGCAAACAGCTCTGTGCAGATAACTAGGCAGGATGCATTGGGGGCCTCTCTGTGGGAGGGCACTAAGCTTATGGAGGATCAGAAAAGAGTTCTTGCACAAGGTAGGCCTTTAGTTGAGACGTGACAGGAGCCATGACATCAAGCAAGTGGAGATGCAGAGGGAAAGAGTGCCAGGCATGAGGGACAGCCAGACACACCTGAAGTTAAAACTGGGGGAGGGAATTGGGACTGAAGCCAGTCCCCAACCCTGGGGAGGGCTGGGGTGGAAGGATGGTGGAAGGGTGCAGTCCTTGGGGCCTAGATGAGCAGGTATGCAAATTCCTCCCCACCCCCCACACTGCCAACAACAGTAACAGAGCAAGCTGGTGAAGGAGAGAGAGCTGGGTTGGAGGGGACAGGCTCCAGAGCCCCTTCTTTTCCCTCTTCTCATGCAGTGGTACAAGCTGGATGAACTCTTTGAGCAGGAGCGAAACGTCCGGATGGCCATGACTAACCGGGCCGGCCTCCTGGCCCTCATGCTGCACCAGACCATCCAGCATGATCCCCTTACCACAGACCTGCGCACCAACGCCGACCGCTGAGCCACCGGGCCGGTGTGATTCCACCCCCACTGTCTGAGTGTGGCTGGAGTCCTTCCTCAGCCTGTTGGTCTCTGCCAGAGAATCTTCCACCATTCTGCTCCCCGTTTCCCCCTGTGCCCTTGTTTATTTGCTTCCTTCCTTCGTGGGTCTGCCCCTGTCCCACCCTCCTCCCTGACCCTTTGTTCACTTAGGTACCCCTTCCTAACCTTGGTAGCCCCCACTGCTGTAGCGACTGATGCAAGGAGATGGAGGCCCCAAAGGGGAATCAAGGAAGAATTTGAGGGGGACCCGGGGTTGATGCTCCACCCTGAAGTTTGTTCACAATAAACTTTGGAAGAAATAGGCCACTGGCTTCCTCTTGCCCGTTGTTTGACTTTGATCTGCAGACACCACACTGGGTGGGGTGGTGTAGAACTGAGGTTCAAGATGGCAGACATCCTGGGGTGGCCACTGGAAGGTCACTGCAGTTTGAAGGAGGGGGGGCCCTGAACAGAAACAGGACCCATTTTGTCAGTGCTTCCTCTGAGGCCGTCTTACTAAGCGTTTTAAACTTGGCAACTCCCTTTGTCCATCTCAGTTCCTTGAGCCCACCCTGGCAGGTAGGTGCTATGGTCGTCTCCATTTTGCAGATGAGGAAAGTGCCTGAAGGAGCGTTACAGTCACACAGTAAGTGACTGAGTTAGTATCTGACCTCAGAGCTGGCCAACCATTCCAGTATCTGCCAAGAAAACCTCAAAGGGGGCCCTGAAGAGTTGAACCTGAACCCAAGGCCTCGCTTGCTGGTCTTTGTGGAGACTGGGATGGAGAGGAAAGACCAAGGCCCCAGCTCTTCAGGTGCCAGTGCCCCTGATCTCAGGCTCTACCCTTTCAATGCCTGGGGCCGCCACGGAGGGCCCTCCGTGGCATAGGCCCCCTGGGGCAGCTCGATCCAGGGGCAGACGCGGAGGCTGGCTCCCGGGGCCCAGCTTGGAGTGCAGGCAGGGGACACCTCCCAGCCGCCTGGCCCTTCTCCTTAGGGGGTCTAGGGGCTGGGGCGTCTGGGCCTGCCTCCCGGCCCCGCCCCTCGCCTTTGCTTCGACCTGGGCTGGGACTGCACTCGAGCGGGGGCGGGGCGGGGCCGGATTTCCGGTTCCGGGTTCAACGGATTGTGGGCTTGCAGCAGGGGCGGGCAGGCCTTCGGGAACGGGTGAGGAGCGCGAGCCAGGCCGGGCCGGGCCGGGCCGGGCCCGAGGGAGCGGAGCAGGTAGGAGGGAGCCGGCTCACGGGGCGGGCGCTGGCCGAGCTGCAGGGGCCGGGGCGTGGGAGTGGGGGAGGGTGCCGCTGGGAGGGAGGAAACTGGGGATTCCTCCCGTGGGGGGGGAGGGGAGGAAGGGGACGGACTGCCCACCCCCGCCCAGGTCACTGCGGGTAAAGGCGCGGAGGCGGGCGAAAGAGCAAGTTTTAGAAAAATGCCAGCCTGGGCGCCGGGCTGATGGCGACGGTGCAGGAGAAGGGAGGGAAAGGCCCGGCCCCCGGGCTCTGGAGAGGGAGCAGGCCTGCCTGGCGTGCATCGACCGGGTCTGGGCCCGGCCCCGGCCCCGAGGAAGGAGTGGGGGCGATCCTGCGCGTGCCCAGGGGCTCCTGGGCAGCCTCCTCCCCTCCCCCTCCCCCCTTCTCTTCCCTCCTCCCCCCTTTCCCTCCTCCTCCTCCTCTCCCTCTTTCCTCCTTTCCTTCTCCCCTCTTTCCCTCCTCATCCCTTCTCCTCCCCCATCCTGCCCCCTCTCCTCCCCCCAGAAGTGTTGGCCAGGACAACCAGCTTCAAGCAGTGGGTTAGCCTCCTGCCTCACTAGCAGCCGTGGGCACCATTCACCAAGGGGCAGCTTTCATCTGGGTCTGAGGAAAAAAGAACTGAGAAATCCAAGTTGGGCAAAGAGGGCAGTGGTTGGGGCTCCCTTGAAATGGCAGCAGACTGGGGTCAGTGCCGTTTGGGGCCTCAGTTTCCTTTTCTGTAAAAGAGTGGGTTGGCTTTGACTGCTAGTTCTAAATGTAGGACTTGATGACCAGATGAAAGGAGGGCCTTCTTCCTGATTTCTGTAGCTTCATTCGGGGGGGGGGGGAAGGAAGGGTGCCCTGTGCCTTTCCTTTGCTTCCTCTGGCCGGCCTGGTACCAGGGTGTTTAGCTTGGTGGCAACAGGAGTAAGTTGCAAAGGAGGGAGAATTTGGGCCCTGTTGAGCCAAGAACCAGTTCCTGGTTCGAGGGTAACACCTTGAATTCTGTGTGCAATGCCCCAAGCCCTCTTTCCATTGTTTCTTCCTCTGGTTGGAACCAGGGAGGGCAGAGCGCTGGGGTTGAGAAGTAGGAAGAAGGCCTGGCTGCTGCTTGGCCTGGGGGTCTGGACCCTTGGCTAAGTCACACCTGCCCAGCCTTTGCTTGATCTCAGACGTTCTGAGGAGCCTGTGACCCATCAGGGAGACCATTTGATGGACCCTGGTTGGGATGAGAAGTTACTGAGGCAGTAGGCCCCTATCTGCCCAGTTCCAGAGCAGGGTTTTAGCTGCAGATGAGGGCTTGGAGGACGTGTCTGAGGACAAGGAAGGAGGGGGGGAGACCTTTCCCTAGGTAGCCCAGAGGCTGAGCCAGGATCAGAAGGCCTGAGCTTGCTATGTCCTTCAGGCGTGCCAGCTTGAGCTGACCCACCTAACAAGTTCCTGAGTGCCAGGGCCCGCTAAGCTCCAGGTGTGCAGGCAGTGGCATTGGTGGCTACTGGTCCCCTGGTGGGATGGGACTGGACTCAGGACCTCTTGGGCCCCTGGCAGTGGGCACCTCCCTTCCTCCCTCCATTAATCTTCCATTCTGACACTTTTTTTTTTTCTGTTCCAAGGGAGCCATTTTACCTCTGCTTCCAAGGAGTAGCAGCTCCCATCTTAGGGCACCTTTACTTCCCCAGGTTTTCTTTCCTTTTCTGGACTGAGGGCCCTTGGGACAATTACCTCATTCTCTGTCTCAATAGGGAATGGCTGTGGGGGCCTGACAGTCAGACCTGGACTGCTTTAACCTTGAGCTCCTCCCTTCCCCTCCTTTGGTCTCAGTTTCCCCATTTTTATGTAATTCATACTAAACTCATTGAGACAAGATGCTTTTGCCTTTCATTCATTGGGAGTGGATGGGACCTCCTAGGAAGGTCTTGGTCTTTACTTCAGGGCTAAACTGAGGCTCTTAGGGGTTGTGGACGGGGCAGGCCTATTCCTGGAGTATAATTTATACCTAAATGCAGGCCTCTTAGCTGGAGCTTTGGCCTGCTGGCCTGCCCTTCCTGGGCTCCCTGCACACACTGACTGACCCCTCCCCTCCCTCTTCTGCAGGCGGCCACCTCTGGCGCCCACCACTCTCTCCCTTCCCCTGACCCTGGTCCTCCATGGCGGAGGACTGGCTGGATTGCCCAGTGTTGGGCCCTGGCTGGAAGCGCCGTGAATCCTTCCGAAAATCTGGGGTCACCTGTGGTCGTTCAGACACCTATTATCAGAGGTAGGCGGGAGCCAAGGTCTTCACGGGGCACTGCAGGGAAGGTAGGGGAAGGGCATGACAGCTTGGAGCTTCTTGGCTTTGGGCAGGCAGCCTGCCATGCTGTCACTCTCGGTGCCATGCCCGAGTAGCACCCTGGGTGGGTTGGAATGACTGGCTTAGCCTGGCAGCCTTTGCCCCAGCCCCAACCTCTCAGTTGGGTTGAGGTAGTCATGGGGAGGGGAAGGGAGGAGGGAATGAACTTTTCTAAAGTACCTTCTGCATGCTAGGCCCCATGCCAAGCACTTTACACATATTCTCTCATTGAATCCTCACAACTGCCCTGGGAGGTAGGTGCCATTGTGATCCTCATGTTACAGCAGAGGAAAGTGAGGCAGAGGAGAGGTGACTTGCTCAGGGCCACAGAGCCAGTAAGGGTGTGAGGCCAGATCTGAAGCCAGGCCTCCAGGCCTCTAAGTAAGACCCTTTCTTTTTTAGGAGCAGAGGAAAGCTGTGGGCTCAGCTAGGGTGGACCCAAGGGAGGGGGCAGCTGTGGCCATACTGGGCCTTGGAGTAGGGGTGGCGGTTGGGAGGAGCTGCTCCTGGTAAGCCTTCCTGCCTGGGCCAGGAACATTCAGGGAATTGTCGTCGTCCCCCCCCCCCCCGGTCTCCCCACTGCAGCCCTACTGGAGAGCGGATCCGGAGTAAGGTTGAGCTGACCCGCTTTTTGGGGCCTGACTGTGACCTCAGCTGCTTTGATTTCAAACGGGGTGTTCTCCAGTATTTGCCCGCCAAGGTAGCTCTTACTGCCGGGGTGAGGGAGGAGGCCAGGGAGACTGCCTGGGAGGCTTAGGGCCCTTTGGGAGACCTGCTCTCGTTCTCCCAGGCATCTCCTCAAAAGAAGAAGACACAAGCTTGGCCCAAGAAGGCGGCATCATCCCTCAAGGAGAAGCAGCCTCAGGAGCCCAGACTCACCCCGCCTGCTCCCCAGGGCGCTCTAGATATGTGAGTGGGAGGCCTGCTGGGGGCTCGGCCTCCTGGTCTGTGAGGCTGCTGATGTGGTGTGTGCCCTCGGTGCCCTTGGGCGGGGAAGGGATGAGATTCATGAGTGAATCGGTCATCGGGGTCCTCCTTGCCCTCCAGACTTGCCTTCTCTCTCTCTCCATGCCTTGCCCTGGGGGTTTTACTGGCTAGGCTCCCCTTCTTTCTCAGATGGTGTGAAAACTGCGGAGCCCACATCTCAGGGGATAGCGCCGGGCGCCGGCGCCTTCGGTCTCTGTGTAAAAGCTGCCGAGGTGGGTCTGGGCCAAGCCTCTGGCTGCGGCTTCTCTCTAGGAATTGGGGCTGGAGTTAGGAGGAGGCATTGCTCTTGGCTATTCAGACAGTCTCTTCCTTTCCTCCCCCAGCCCAGAGAAATGCCTTCAACCGGGAGCAGAGAATGTTCAAGGTACTCTTTCTTGTTCCGAGGCCCCACCTGGGGCCAGTTCCTGCCCTCAAGGGGCTTGACGGTCCAGGGTGGGACTTAGGCCTTGGGATCTCCTGTTTCCCTGGCAGCGAGTGGGCTGTGGCGACTGTGCAGCCTGCCGGGTGACTGAGGACTGTGGCGTCTGCTCTGCCTGTGCCATGCAGCTTCCCCAGCTCCCCCGAAGTCAGTGTGTCCAGCGCCGCTGCCTCAAGATCATTAACAAGGTGAGTGAGGCTCCTGGGGCTGGCCTGGGCCAGGCCAGGCTTGGGCCTGGGCCCTCACGGTGCTATTTAGTACCTCCTGCTCCCTAGAGCTTCAGCTGTGGTCTCTGTTCTGGCTGTCAAACCAAGGAGGATTGTGGGACCTGCCGGATTTGTGAGCGCAAAGGGAAGCCAGGCCTCAAAAGGCAATGGAAATGCCTGCAGCGGCGCTGCCTCAAGGTGAGCTGACCCCAAGGGATCAGGGTCTCGGGCCCAGTCGGCACCTTGTGCGATGGGCACGTCAGCGAACGGACCTTCACTCATCAAGGCTAGCCTCCCCTCTTTGTTTTTAATTACTTTCTTTTTCAGTGACAAAACTCAGTTTTCTTGTTGCAAATATCCAGCTCTCTCATTTTATGGATGAGGAAACTGAGGCCCAGGGTTCTACCACTTCTTCCCCACAAAATGGCCCCATTGAGGCTAAGGCCAGGGAGTTATCAGACTGGCCTAGTGTTCTCCCTTCCCACCTCTTCCCTCTCTGCGGTTCAGGCCCTAGTACGGTGGTCGGGGGGGAGTCCCCAGGCATCTAGGCACTTCCCTGTGTCTAACAGTCTCCTTGTCTCCCAGAAGCGGATAATGACGAGACCCCGAGGGTTGGCTGCTAGGAAGCTCCCAGGCAGGTGGCGCCGAGGCCTGGTACCACCGCCTGCAGCTCAAGCCGTCAGCCCTTCCAGCACTGCTAAGGTGGGGAGCACAGCAGCGTGGCCAGTTGGATGAGTGTGGGGAGAGCCAGGTTCTTGTTGTTGACCCCCCCCACTCCTCTCCCCCCGAATTCCCTCCCCTCTTGCCTCTGCTGTGAGGGCCAAGGGAGGTACTTGGCTGCTTCCTGGGGACTTCTGGGGGCTTCTGTGTTGCAGAGGGGTTGGGCATCTTGAGCCCTGCTTTGGTACTGAGGGCTTGGAACCTCGGGAACCTGGGAGGGGGGATGGGGGGCCTGAGGTCTGGACTCTCCAGCTTCCCCTCCCATTGTCCTGCCTTCCTCACTGACAAGTTCTGCTGGGGGGGGGGCACAGCACCCCCCGGTTTCTTCCTCCACTTGTTCTGCCCTCCCTCCTGGGTGCTTGCTTATTCTCCCCACCCTGCCATCACTCCCCAGCGCTGTGCCTAGGGTCTCACCAGGTCCCTCTTCTCTTTTCCAATGTCACCCAGAAATGCATGGAGCTTTGGGGGTCCCGCTCCTCCCCAGGCTCAGTGTCTGCCCTTGCTCTCTGTTTTTTCCTTCGATCCCCTTGGGCCCCATCCTCCCTGCTCAGGACAGGCCACCTTCAAAGCTCCCCAGGAGCCAGGTTCAATGTCTGACAAGGCTCCCCACAGTGGTGACAGTGAGTGGGGCCTCGGGGTGACGGCGTGCATGGTGCATGTGGGGACAGGACTGAGCCAGGCAGTGTGACTCAGCTGCTTCCTTTCTGCTTCTCACCCCTGGGTCTGAGCTACCCTATTGAGCTTATAGCTCCATCTTATCCTAATCCAGGTTTGTCTGTCTGTCTGTCTGCCTGCCTACCTGCCTACCCGCCCACCCGCCCTAGTGGGTGGGAGGCCCTCAAAGCCTGGGAGTGGGCCCTCTGCTTGTTGAGGCCTACCCACCTGCCTGCCTAGTCTGCCAACCCCAGGTTCCAAGCCCCAGTGGGAGCCTTGTGGTGCCATCACTTTGTGGTTGGATATGGCCTGATTTCAAGGAAAGGGGTGGAGGGCTAGGGGGAGGAGGAGAGAAGGCAGGAAGGCCTCCAGAAGTTCATCTCTTTCCCTGCTCTTCCTCATCATCTTTTCTCTCCCTTCCTTGCCTCCCCCTCTTCCTAATCTCCTGTGATCCTCTGTTCCCTCCCTCCCCTGGCCTGGCTGTGAAGGCTCAGGGCTGGCAGAGAGGCGTCACTGCGGCAGCTACAGCAGTGAGTGGATTTTAAACTCAATGTCTGGTTTGAAAGCTGGGGGCAGTGCCCTCCTGGCCCGGGGGGGGGGGCCCTGCCCTGCCCCATCCCGTCCTGCCCCCCCCCACGTAAGTGAACCCTTCATGAAGACCAATCCCATCTCTTTTGTGCAGGGGCCACAGAGAGAGAGAGAGAGAGAGAGAGAGAGAGAGAGAGAGAGAGAGAGAGAGAGAGAGAGAGAGAGAGAGTGTGTGTGTGTGTGTGTGTGTGTGTGTGTGTGTGTGTGTGTGTGTGTGTGTGTGTGTGTGTTTGTAGACGTCTTCACTTCCTTTGTTCTGACTTTTGCTGCCTGTGTGGTTTGTCCACCCTGTGTTCGCAGTCAGTAAGCCACCACCACTTTTGGGGGGAAAGCATGCATTTCTTCCAGGGGGGGGGCAGAGCGGCCACCAAAGTGGGAAGGCCGCAGATCCCTGGCTTCCCTCCGAACTTTGGCTTGTATCCCTGGGGTAGGGGTGGGGGCAGGGAGTACAGACTATGATGCTACATGAGGAGCCCAAGCCCTGGCTCTGGGAAAGGGAAGTATGAGGGAGGGCCCTCAGCTCCTTCACGCTTGAGAGGAACCCCAGGAGATTCTCTGTCACCTGCCTGCCAGCCTCTAGTTCATTCTCCTCTTCCTGTCTCTCCCTGCCATTGCCACTGATGCAAGCGTTTTAGGGTTAATGCCGCCGACTCTAACGCTAAGTACCCCGAAGTGCGTATGCATGCGTTTGCTTGTGTTTGTGTGCACATATACTATCCCAGACAGGGAAGGGAAACATTTGGACTCCTTCCTGGGAATAGTTGTATCAGGCTAGCTTCTAGGAGGCTAGTGGGATTGGAAGTGGATTTCTGGGCAGACCTTACCTTCCCGGGGTGCCTAGCAGAGAGGCATGCTCTGTCTTTGAGGTCTGGCCGAGCCCGGCCCAAGATTTTCCAACGTCTTGCCTATGGGCCCCATCCCCAGAGCTAGGACCTTGATTCCTTGTTAGAGGGCATTGTCCTCCTGCTCCCCAGAAATGAATCGCCTCTGGAGCCTGGCAGAGTAAGTGAGCTAAGGGCTGTGCCCTGCTATCACCTGCATACACACACACACACGCAGGTCTTCACACCCGTGTGGTGCAGGCCCTCCTGTCACTTTGCAGGGAGAGCGGGAGGGGGTGGAATTGGAGGTTCTAGCTGCCAGCTGCCTCCTTCATCAGCTTGTTCCCCCCTCTCCCCCATCCTTGCAGCACGACATTGGTCGTAAGACCAGAGAGCCAAAGCGGGGCCAGGGCTCCCCTGCACCTTCCAAGCTGGTAAGGCCCTGGGTAGGCCATGGGGGTACTGGGTAGGCTGGGCCTTGTTTTGAGTTGGGGGTTGCTTGTAAATGCAGAGGAATGATGTGAGGGGAAAGGCTTGGGGTGTCAGAGCTGGGATGGGGTCTTGCTGCCTGGCCCTGTCACTTCCCAGGGAAACCTCCTGGGAAGCCACCATGTGGCCCCCAGTGGCTAATAAGTTGCTGCCTCTGTTTCCCTCTCCCAGGCTGGGTGTTCAAGGTAGCAAAGTTGCCCTCAGCTCTCATCCTTCTGAGACTAGCTTGCTGCTCCTACCCCTTCCTACCAGGCTCCCTGCCCAGCTCCTGGCCAGTGTGTGTGGTAGAGGTGGGAAGAGGTTTTTCTGGAGCTCCTGGGGGCCAGTAGAAGTATGAGAGGGCAGTTTTCTGTGGGAGAGATGGCCAAGGTAGTTTAAGGAATGGCTTTGGATGTGTGAGGAGCAATTAGCAGGCCCCACTGCCCTGGTGCTCCCTACCCCACCTGTCCCGGCCAGCAGCACTGGCAGCCCAGGTGACCTTGTCTCTCTCACCTGCTGCCCAGCGCTACTCCAGCCGCCGGCAGAGCCGCAGATGTGGGGTGTGTGCAGCGTGCCGGCGCTGTGTGGACTGCGGTCAGTGCGACTTCTGCCAGGACAAGCCCAAATTTGGGGGCTGTAACCAGAAGCGCCAGAAGTGCCGGTGGAGGCAGTGCCTGAAGTTTGCCATGGTGGGTGTGGCAGCTGGCTCTGGGGAGGTTCTGGGTAGGCAGTGGCTCGTGAAGGTGCTCAGCCAAGTGTCTGCCTACAGAAACGTCTGCTGCCTACAGCCAGGTGGGACAGCCCTGCTGTAGAGGGGGCAGCTCTGCCTCGGTGCCGGTCACGCCGTAGGAAGGGGGCCTTGGTTAAGCGGGCCAAATCTGGGGGCCTGCAGGGCCAGAGGCTGGTCACTGAGGCACTCAGCAGTGGGCTTGAGGTAACCCTAATTCCCTACGGCTCCCTCCTTTCCTCCTCCCCTCCCCTCCCCCCAGGATCCTGAGCTGGACCCACCCCCTGTATGGCAGTTTTGGTGGCGGCGCTGCCACCTTCCTCTGATTTCCCTGGGCCCCTGGAGGCCATCTAGCCATTTCCCTTTGTACTCACTCACGCTGATCCCAGCCCCGTCCTTCCTTAGCAGAAGGGGCTCCCTGTGCTGGCGGAGGAGCTCGGTCCTGGCTTTATGCTGCCCCCAGGGACTGACCTGGTCATCCTGCAGGAGCAGGAGGGGGGTGAGGGCATCCCTGTGCTTGTGCCCAGCACCAGGCCACGAGGTTCCCTGCTCCCTGCCCCCGGCTGCATCCTCCTCGAGGTGAGCACTGGCTGCCAGGCCCAGGTTTCCCAGCCCCCTCTTCTCCCCTCCCCACTGTGTAACTCACCAATTCCTTTGCTGGAGGGGCAGTGGAGCAGAGCCCCCTTCAGGATGGGCTGAGGTTGGCCTGACTAAGAGGGGGGGCCATTCAGCTCCTAATGGTCATCTTGGAGAAGTGTGATGTAGGAGCCAGGCATTAGAGGGGCCTGCTAGGCTTTTGGCTCTGAGAACACAGGGCTTGAGCAGACCTGCAATGGAAGTGGAGCCCTGGTTAGGTGGTGCGGGAGGAGAGCCAGAGTGGCCTTGTGCCATCCTCTTGGCCAGGTGGCTAGAGTCTGCTATGACCTTTCTCTTGGGCCCTCCTTGCAGGAGTATGAGTGTCCAGGCCTTGGGGTGTTCATCTCATCCCCCCCAGTGAAGCAGGAGGTTGAGACTTATGGGGACCGAGCTCCTGGAGCTGCCTCCCCACCCCCTGCAGGCTTCTTTCCTGGCCTCTGCAGCAAGGTAACCAGGTAGAAGGGCTGGGGGGGATGGGCACCTTATCGGCACCTCTGCCACCAAGCAGGCCTGGCTCCTGTGTACAAGGCTACCTAACCCTCTTGATGCATCTTGGATCAAGTTTGAATTCTGGCTCCACCTTTGCTCTGCTGCCTTCCCAGGGTTTGCTTCCTGTGTATGTGAGGTACAGGTTTCTGATGTGGCCAGCTCTCCCGGCTGTGCCACTGTCATCCACAGACTGGAAGCTCCCTGAGCCCTGGCCATGCCACCATCTCCCCCACTAGACTTGATGCCGATGCCGATATTTTGACTTGTGTTGGGTTCTTTTTGATTGTTGGGTTTGGTTTGGTTTGGTTTTCTTTAGGGAGCTAATAGGGCCCAACGACAGCATTCCCTGAAACAGGAAGAAGAGGAGGCGGCCAAGGCAAACACTCCTGTGGTGAGTGACTGAGGGCTGGGCCGTGGGTAGTCAGGAGGGCGGGAGTGGACGGCAGCCAGGGAGTAGCAATGGGACTTCTCCCTCCAGATCATGGAGATTTATAGTCTGAGCGGCGCCACCCCAGCAGCAGCAGGGCCCTGTGGAGGCCTGGACAGTGTCCTACGAGAGTTTCTAGCAGAGCTGAATGAGCTGCCCCTGCCTGCTCACTGGGAGGTCCTGCCGCCGAGGGGGCCAGACCTGCGCCTCATCCAGCGCTCCCCCTTGTCCACCATGGCTGCTGCGGTCATCCATATCCAGCCAGGCCTCTACTTCCACGTGGTGGTGCAAGATGTCCCCGTCCCACCCAGCCATGAGCTGTACTCAGCCCACCCATTGCGGCTCACCACTGTGGATGAGGTGGTTGAACTCATCTGCAACCTGGAGGCTTATCATCTGTGCCCTGGCTGGCCGGGCAGCTGGCGGCAGGGCCCACGTTCTCCAGACTGTGCCGTCCTAGTATATGAGGGCCGCTGCCAGGCCTGCTGCCTAAAGCCGTGCACCTCAGGGAGCAACAGTAGCTGAGTACCTGCCTTTTCCCTGGGTTCCCATGCACTGAGCTGGCCCGTGGGCTCCCTTTCCCCTAGCTCTCCCTACTACACTGTGTACGAGTCAGTCTACACTGGAAAGGCTGAGGTGAGGACAGATGTCTTCTCCCCCTGCCTCCCCACAAAAGCCAGCATTTACCCACCTCCCACTATGGACTGCTCTGAGGATCCCCACTTTTCTGGCCTGCCCTGGCTCTCCATGTGGTTTCCAAGAGAACTGTCACAGTCCATGTCCCCATCATCACCCCCCCCCCACACACACACACACACTTTCACCCTAACCTCAGGGACACGGGCTGGGCCCATGTAGAGAAGAGTGAGAGTAAGGGGGGCATGGGAAGCTTGGGTTTGGATTCTGGAAGTGGAGCCCCTAGAGAGGGGCATCTGCAGGGCCAAAGAGCTACTCCTTCCTCCACTGTGCCTTCCCCCCCCCCAAGAGAAGCGAAAGGAATCTATTGTTTTTATGTACTCTAGTGGCCTGCTTAGCTGGCCAGCTGGGCCCTGGCCTTTTCTTTGCTGCCTTTACCTTTATTTTTCTAAATAAACTATGGTGACAGTGTTCTGAGGGAGGTGGGTTCTCTTGGGCATAGACATCAGTCAAAGCTAGCTTGTTTATACATGGGGGTCTTTAGGCCTGGGGTGGGGGCACTATACACTCAGCCCAGAAAGGAGGTTTCCTCAGTTGTCTACCTGCTATAGCCAGACTCCGGTGCCAGTGAAGAGCGAAGGAAATCTGATTGTGACCCACCTGACTTCCAGGGTGTTTGAGAAGACTGGGGCTTCTTGCTATTTTAGGCTGCCTTTTATGTGGCAGTTCTAGCCTTGAGGGTTTCATGGGTTAGTGAGAGGTTAAGTGACTTATCCAGGCAACGCTGTCAGTCTCCTTAGCTTCCTTAACCCAATTCCTCAGGGTTTGGTCAGAAAGTGAGGAAGGCACAAAGCAGGGGGAACTTGGCGTGCCCCTAGTGCATCCTGAAAGGTCAAAGGAGGGGCTCCCTCAGCCTGCTCAGCAGCATTTCTAGAAGTTCTTGCTATCTAGGTAGAAGCCAAGTCCTTTACACTAAGGCTTCCCTGCCTGTGTTTCTGATCGCACCAGCAACTGAGCCAGTGTGCACTGCCCTGGTATTTTGACTCAAGTTGAGGCCACAGGCAGATCCCAACCACACATTATGCCCCCTGGATCCAGCTTGGCTCTAGTCACAGATTCATCTCTACCTTATCCCCTTTCCCCCCAGTTCTAGAATGCCCCCCTCCCGCCAAACCTTACATGATCACTTGCCTCTTCCAATCGGGGACAGGACAGGGAGATGAAGAAACTGATATTGCGCAGGGTTGGCTGAAGTCTTGCCCAAAGGCCCACACACATCTGGATTTTTTTAAACAATATGTTCTTTAAAACACAGATTAAAAAGAAGAAAGACAGTCCCTGCTGCAACACTTTAATGTTATTTGAAAGTTAAAAGCTGTAGTCTGAAGTTTGTTAAGACAAAGCAGTTCCTGGGAAGCTGCCATTGGGTAGAGAATGAATCCGGAACTGAACTAGATTTCCACATCCCATTCCTCTCAGGCCCCTTTGTGCTGTGCTGGCCAGGCTGAGGTTAGTAAAGTGAGTTTTACAGAAAGTCAGGCCCCCGGACGGAAAATTTTGGCCAGCAAAGGCTCATTTGGCTGGGCCTTCTGGGCAAGCTCGTGTATCTGGGCTCCTAGTTGTTGTTCCTTGCCCTGGCTGGCCTGAATCTCTTTGTGCTTTCTGATCTCCAGTTCTGTGGGGCGCTGGATGAAACCCCAGCTCTTCTCTTGGACTACTGATCCCTCCCCATAAGTAGCCAAGGCAGTTTCTGCCTTCTTCAGGAAATGTTTGCTCTTCTCCACGCTCTGCAGGTAAAAGTCTGTTTCCCGCTTGGCCTGAGAGATCTCTGCCCGGACACGCTGCTGCCGGACCTGCCGCTCATAGGCCAGGCGCTCACTCAGATGACTCCACTTGAATCGATGCAAGTACTGGGAAGGAAGGCCACCAGCAGGTCAGCGACGCTGCCCAGCCCGGCCCTCTGACCTGCCCGCCATCTGCCCGGCCTCACCTTCAGGTTCCATAGGTCATAGCGGAAGGGGCTGCGGCGCTGGGCGCCCATGGGCGTGTTGTGCAGGCTGGCAACCACTCGCTTGGCCACCCGCTTGTCCCGGAACTCCACCCAGCCCTCGGTGTAGTCCAGCCCCAGGCGGCGGCTGTCCCCGGAAGCGCCCGTCACTTTCTTCCTTTGGCCTAATCGATCTGGGTGCCGGAGGAGGGCCGGCCAGCCGGAAGGAAAGAACGAAGGAAGGACGGACGGACAGACAGACAGAGACAGACAGACAGACGGGTCAGGGTCAAGGCCCAAGCCTGGGGGAAGGGGAGAACCCCCACCTCTGCCCACCACTAGCTCAAGTGAAGCCCGCGGGAGAGACCTTAGCTTACTTTGCAGGAGGAGAAACTGAAGGTCCCACCAATCCACAGCCTTTGGAAGGCGTTCCTCCTAGCGGGGGGGGTGGGGGAGGAGCTAGGAGCCCAGACTCCGCCTCCTCGCTCCCCTCTTCCTAGCACCCCCACTGGCCGCGCCTGCGCACTAATCGCCCTCCCTGCCCGCCACGTGTGTGCTGAGGCTCACCCTCAGGCTGGAAGAAGACGCGCCCGATCTCGCCATGGACGCTGAGCAAGTTCCGCACGTGCAAGGGCCGGAAGCACGGCGGGATATGGCCCAGGTATATGATACCGGGCACCACCCGCTTCCTGCTCGTCCCGAGTTCCCCTGCCGGCTCCGACGACTCCGACGACGCCGACACAAACTCTGACTCCGACTCCGACTCCGACTCCAACTCCGGTGGAGAGCTCGAACCGAACTCATCGGAGCCTGGCTCCAGCCTTACCGCTCTCATCGCCATCCGGGACACCTCCAACGCCGACAGCAGATAACGCCCAATGAGGAACCCCGCCGGCTGGGCCTGCCCCATCACTGCTCCGCCCCCTCATTGAAGCCCTGGGCGGGGCACCGAGAAGTTGGCTAAGGTGGCCAATCCGGCGAGGCTGGGCGGGGGGGCGGGGGCCACAGGAGCGGCGAGAGCGCAGGCGCAAGCCCCAGGGGGCTGCCCAGGTTGTTCAATGACTTCCGGCCGGTTGTGGAGGTTCGCGCGCTGGGTCGTACGCACGCAGCACGTGCGGAGTACGCACGCAAGGGCGGGGCTACAAATGCACGCACGCACGCAACAAGCAAGCCCGCCCTCTCTGGGCTTCCTTCTGCCCTAGGTCGGTCGCGGCCACTTCTCACCCGTCTTTTCCCTCTGGCGCCGACTGCCCCCTTCCCTTTCGCTCTGCGCACTTCGGTCTGTGCTTGCTGTCTCCCGGCCCCCCCCCATGCTCAGCCCCCCGAGGGCTGCCCGGACTGGTTCTTGGTATCTCGGGGCTTGCGGAGACTGACGGAGGGAGCCGCTCCTGCTAGCGGCCCCCATGCTCTTCCCCAAGCTTCCCAGACACGGGCCTGGTTCTGTGGTGTCTATAGTGGAGAGGCTGTAGAAAGGCAAGCACGTGGGTGGAACGCCGTCCGGGAGCTCCAAATGAGAGCAGCCCTTCTGGAAGCAGCTGGCAATCGGGCAAAGAAAGTCTCTCCCCCGCCCCGAACGAATTCCCGTGCTCTCAGCATCATGAGAATGCAGGGGAAGCTTTGTATGAACTTAAGCAGAGTAAAGCAAGAAAAATGAGGAAAGTAGCATGAGAGTGACTACAGCAAATAGAACAACCTCAGGGGGCAGCTGGGTGGTGCGGTGGATAGAGCACCCAGTCAGGAATACCAGAGTTCAAATGCAGGCACTTGACACTTACTAGCTGTGTGATCCCAGACAAGTCACTTAACCCCCTATTGCCTCACAAAAAAAAAACTACTACAAAGTAACAAAAAATGGATGTTGCAAAATTACAGAGAATAATCTTGGGCTTAGCACAGTGCCTGGTACGTAGTAAGAGCTTAAATGTGTTGCTTGGTTGGTCCCAAAGAAGAGAAAAAAGGGGGGAGGTGCGCAGCACGGTGCAACTCACTAGTTTGCAGAAGTGGGAGGTCAACAAGTGTGGAACTTTGCAAATAATTTAGGGTTAGGTGGTGTTTGGTTTTGGGGGGTTTTTTAATGCATTCTAATGAGGCAGTTTTGCTTAACTTTTTTCTTTTTTGTAACTATTTTTCTTTTTGAAAAAGTTTGTTTTAAGAGATGGCTCTCTTGGAGGTGGCAGGTGGAGGGATAAATCTAGGCAATATAAAATCAAAAGAATCAATACGACCTACTCTGAAACTAAACAAGAAAAAGCAACTTCTTCTGATAGACCTCTCTGTGCACTTAGAACAACATCCAGTTGTCAGCCACTTCCCTTGGACTCTGGGCCTTCAGCCCCTACTCCTGTGACCCTTCCCCCACCCTTTAATCTGGGCCAATGGTTGCTAGATCCTAGGTCCCCAGTTAATCCTAGGCCTCTATCCTCCCCCAGCCTTGCCTTGCCCTGAGAAGATAATCTCTTAAAAGAGCCAACATAATCATCTCATCGAAAGCTCCAGCTGGGATGGATGGTGTTTAGACATCATTTTCTCCAGTCTTACTACTTCAGAGAACTTGGGGCTCTCCAACAGTCTGGGGGACCAGTCTCTGATTAGACACAGGTTTGGGTCTTGTGATGGACCCAAGAGCTTTTCAGTTTGCCCCCCCCTCCCTGTTTAAGACATTTACTTAGTAAATGCTAGAATAGTGAGTGTCCCCTTGACCCAGTAAACGAGGCTCAGAGAGAGAATAGGATTGTCCCATTAGAATGGAAGCTCCTTGAGGATTTTCATTCTCTGTGTTTTGCACATTTCTTGGCATATGGTGGGCATATCCTAAACACTTGTCAGTGATGGATTCTTAGAGTGTGGAGTAGGGATCCAGTTACCAACGTGCTCAATGTAACCGTATTTCACAGCTAAGGAAACTGAGCTTCCCCGGGAAGGGTGGGGACTTGCCAGGGGTCACACCATGGGCCAGAATGGTCTTTGTAGTTGAATGACTGTAGTTTTTAATTAGAAAAAGTCCTTAAGCTAAGAGAAGGCTTGGAGATCCTCTAGCTCACTGTCACTTATTTGTTAAAGGGAGAAACTGAGGGCCCAAGGAGGGACTCATCTGAAGGCACGGCAAAGTTAGGAGTCCAAGATGTCTGTGAGAGACTGTTTCTCCACTGGAACTTGGCCATGGCTGAGGAAATAGAAGGGAAAAGGCTTAGAGATCCAGTGCCCAAAGACTTGGATGAGGGGAGGGGGCAAGATTCGTTCTACTCTAGTTTCCAGTCTCCCTGCCTACAAAATGAGCAGTGTGTTTGGGGGGCTGTGTCTCTGGGGATTTGCTGGGTTTAACCCTAAACCCATCGCCTTCTATTCCTCAACATCTGGCACTCAGGCCTGGGGCCAGGGAAGAACCCTCCCCACTCCCTCCCCATCCAGCTGGCCAGAGGATGCCTGGGCTCCTCTGAATAGGCAGCTCAGTCTCTTGTGGGGGAGCTCAAAGGACAGGGATCTGAGGAGT